TTATCTAGGTGTTCCTGCTCCGGCAGGGGGATTGGACTAGATGATCTTTCGAGGTCCCTTCCAATCTCTAACATACTGTGATACTGTGATACTGTGATATATTCTAAAAAAGATGCATTTCCTTGCCAGACATTAAGTGCCAATGTTCTCTTTATTGTTTTTTATTTTGTTATCCAATAATGTAATTTTGAAGTAATCTTTTGATCAATCAGACTAGCACATACATAAAGTATGCACTTTATATTCCTACCAGTAAACTTGCCAGGAGCTGTGTGTATATATATATATATATATATATAGCACAACATTTTTTGTGTGTATATATATAGCAGAACATTCTCCAGGAAATGAAATCTTTGATGAGTGGAATAAAAGCATATGGATGATTAGATGTTTTTCTTATTCATCAGGGTTTAGGAAATAGAGCTGTGTTCTTGATTTCCTGAGGTTATACTCAGCAATTTTGACTGGGGTAGAAAAGACATGGTAAATGGGCTTTGGGAAGAGTGCGATTCCATGGAATGGTCATTCTGGGCTGTGCTGTAAGAACAGTGATTTCTAGGTTCTGTTTTGTTCATCTGCAGACTTTCTTTTCCATCCTTCACAGATAACAGGATTTCATGGGTCAAGCTTCAGAAAACCCTTGGTTAGTATTTCTAGGGACCCCCTGTGAGGAGCCAAGTGTAGGTTCAGCTGTGTCTCCATAAGACACTGTGTTTCAGCAACTACTCTTCTTGTCCCTATTCCAATCTCTGGACCAGGACCTCTAAGGAATGGGAGAAGGGAACATTGAGAAATTAATATTACTTGATCTGCCCTAAGTAGCAACTCCTCTAATTGGTATTTATGAGAATTCTCAGCCTTTGGGCAACTAAATTCACTTCCATTCCCTTTGCAAGGCTAGAATGAGAACCAGGAAAGCAGCCAGGGGAACTTCCTCATCAGTATCGATATGGCTACATTTTATTCTAGTGTATGACTGCAGCTTGCATAGACACCTATTGATGTGGTTTTGTATCATCTGTCTTTGTACTGCTGGCTGTGTGGCTGTGAAACTGTATTACGGGCTGCAAAACCCTTGAGAACTGAGGAGCCATTTGTGTGCTTAGCCCCGTCTGATCTCCTTTCTGTGATATTTACACTGGAACAACTATGAGGTCAGATCAAAGACCTGTCTAGCACAGTATCCTCTCTTTGACAGCGGCCAGGACTGAAAAGTACAGGAACAAGATACGCACATGAAATTACTTTTCCACGTTACTTAACTTTACTTTGGCAATTTGTTGCTTAGATTCTTCCTAACCAGAGGTGATCTTAGTGGACTGCCGCCTTCCTCCAATGAAATTCTCTAATCTCTTATTCAACTCATGTCATGTTCTGGCATCCAGCATGTCCTGTGTCAATTAGTTGTACAGTTTTCTTATGTGCTGTAAGGAAAATTACTTCCTCTTACCAATTTTGCATTGCATTTCTTACAATTTAATTTCATGCCCCCTGTTCTTGCATGAGAAGTATAGGAGAGTGAAAAATCGTTCCTCAGTTGCATTCCTTAGCTCAGTCATGATTCTGGGCTCTGTAAAAACATCTTTCTACCACCTCAGTGTCTTTCTTCGAATTTAATCTCTTCTGTAATTTCTGATATGGAATTCCTTGTTGCCATTTTATGTTCCTTTTGTTCCCTTGTTACCTAGCTGAACTGCTCAGCTTGCTTGAGGACCTATGTAATTAAAGGTGTGGAGCCCTTGGATGCGTTTTGTAGTCCTAACTAAGCTCATGCTTCTGCAGCTAATGCTGTTGTTAATGCTCAAGTTAATTAGTTTACAATCAGTCTGGGATTTTATATTTTATTTTCAGTCTCATGGTGGCATTTTAGTGTGTAAAGCACTCAATAAGTTATACTTTCAGAACCACTAATGAAGTGAAAGTCAAATGTGACAACTAGTTTGAGGGAGAAGAGGAAGGATAGAGAGGAAAAATACTTCTTGTTAGAATATGTGGGTTTGTGTGTATGTGTACACGCAGAAATGCAGGTGTTGTTAAAATAATGTGGAAATTAGCAGTGGAAAATATCTTTGTTGAAAACCTTTGAAGAGATGCTTCTTTTGTAGCAGATGGCTGCTGAGCAGGTGTGCTGGCTCAACGTGCGCCATTTTAATGGTAATGTTTCCCTCCTTAGGTCTTGGACTATCAGGTGCTACAGGTTTGATCCTAAAAGTGTTAATCAAACCAGATTGTGCTTTTCTCTGTAATTCCACTTTGGGATTCTGAACTAATTATATTGTCTGAGTGAGAGAGGAAAACAGAGTGAAAAAAATGGTAAATTTCCATTGCCTTAGTGTGCTCTTGAAAGCAGTTTCCTGATCATAGCAAGGGGAAATGCTTATTGCTGATTAGCTTACTCTATATGGGGAGCTCTTATACTAAAATAAATTACAAAATCAAGGTGTAGAAACATCATAATTTGACTAGTCAAAAGAAAAAAAATCTTTCAAAGGTTTCTATGTGTACCACGCTGGTGTTTATGCCATTCACAATTTAGATTAAATCCAAGTTGCACAGACTGTCTGTCTTTGGTAATCAGAATTTTGATTCATTTTCTTTGGAAACTTCATTGCATACAACAATTTCATTTTATGAGACTGTTGAGCATCTCCATAAGCCAGCATTTTTCAAACCACAATTCAATGGCGACTGCGTAGAGATGCCAAAAACCTGATCAGAATCAATCTCTTTTAAAATGTTGCCTCAGGTTGGCTGTCAACTAAACTGAACCCCCTTGTTAACTATATCTATCTTTGTAACATCTTTTTTCATTGTCAAACATATTGTTTCAGGGGTGATGCTATGCATTTAAAACATTTAATTAGGGCTTATTATGTTTTAGTAAATCACTCCAAAGCAAATCAGCCAGACACTGCTTTGGATTCCACCTTATTCTGGATCTTTTTGATGTAACAGCACTGTTCATCTGTCAGGTGACACTTCCTAGTGTATATTTGGTACCCTGTGGTTTGCACCCAATAGGATTTTATTCATAAAATGTCCTTCAGGAACCAATAAACAGGACTCTGCATCAGGAATGTTTGTTCTTACTCCATTTCAAGCAGTTCAGGGGTTGCACTTGACTTCAATAAAGAACACACCCCCCCCCCCCCCCCAAAACAACTAAAGACCAAAAAACCCTAAATTAATTGAAATGGGGCAGAAGCTGAAACTGTCATACCTAAAGTGTAGCAGCTATGGTTTTATTCTAGACAAAGAAATAGGATTTTTGTCTGAGAAGATCCTTGGCAATTATATTTTGAAATTCTTAATGTGAAATTCTTAATAGAATAAAATCTGCAGTCTAGAATTTTGGAAACTTGCCCTGCTCTGGAATCAGTGAAGACTTTATTGTTTTATTCCAGCAGAGGTTCTGATCCAATGCAAAGTAAAAGGCCTTACATTGCTATACATGTACTGTCAATGAGGAACATGTGGTGCTTCATGTGAAGTATTTTGCTGGGAGTCACTCAGACAGTGGTTAAACTGGATATATGTCTCAGAATAGTCCTTTCCAATTTTTATTACATTTTGATTGAGATTATGTAGTATTTTTTCTGTATTGGGAAAGGGCAGCATCATAGAGCATGCTGTGTTATATACTTCTGCTTTGATCACATGAAAATGTGCTTCAATCCTGTCAGATCCAATTAACCCAGCTTCTTCCCTGAATCACAAGCTGTACACAGAAAAGACACAGGAGAGGTGGGTACTGGCATGAGGGAGGATAGACATGCACAGGATAGACACTAGAAAAAAATAACTTGAGTAAAGGAATTGTGGAGCTGGAGAGTGAAAAGGAAGAAATGATAGAGTGAAGGATGTAGGAGTGGTGGTCTGTGGGAAGACAGAGGAAGTGCAGGTTTCTGAGGGGATGTGAGCTGTGCTGTCTGAGCTCCCTATCCCTCTACCAGATCTGCCTTTCCATTGCTTACCAGCAACAGGGAACAGCGGCAGTAGAAGAAAGCTCTTCTGACTTGGCTTCTGGGATTAACGAAGGAGTTGAATCCAAAGAGAGGACACATAGCTGCGAAGGAGGGCTGAGAGGGGAGGGTGCCGCAGCAACCCCCTGTCACCCTATTTCCCCGCTGAGCTCTGCCCTTGGACCTTACTCTGGGAACTGATGCAGCCTAACTTCCATTGCTTAAGCAATGTGCATAAGACTATAGTTGCCATTTCAGTGTTTATGGGCTTACTGCAATTTCTTCAACTAAATATTAGCAGTGAGTAAATGTAATAAAAGGTAATGTGTTGGTTAGATTGCCTGTACTTAACTTTTATCACATGTATATTGAGAAAGTGAAGTTCATTTCCTAAATTATTTCAAGAGAAATTGTGTGGCCATAGAGCTAAAGAAAATTCATTAACTTTACCATCTCCCTAAATACTCCTGTACTTGTGTTTGCTTATCTGTAAAACACAGTTATACTCACATTGCTGAAATATGCATATGAATGTGCAGATTTGTTAAAAGATTTGGAAAATAGAGCTATGCCCATTTGTCATATTAGAAAAGTAAAAGGATTGATTTTTCTTCTGTATTTGTAACCTTCACAGCATTTTGTTAACTATTCAAAGCAATATAGTGAAGTATAGTTTAGATAACATAAGTTCAGGTACATTAAATAGTGAAAAATCCTGTAGTAATTAAAACATAGGCATAACATTTTTTTGTTGCTGTTTCGTTATCCTTAATTTAACAACTTCCTCATTGAAATTTTATTGTTCAAAAGTGTAATACTGGAATCCTAGTGATAATACAGCAGGTATAAATGACATTTCTTGACATTATCATATGGTGTTCCTGCTCCGGCAGGGGGATTGGACTAGATGATCTTTTGAGGTCCCTTCCAATCTCTAGCATACTGTGATACTGTGTGAAAATCAATCAAAGCAAATGTTCTTCCTGTCTTCATAGTGTAGATAAATGGGTTTATGTTTCTGTGTGCTGCTCTTAGGTTTGGAGATGGTTATTCTGTCAAGGTTTGGCTTAGTAAAGGTATAAGCTATCAAAGAATGATTTTGGACTGTCTACAGCTGCATTTTCCTGGAACACAGTTTAAGGTACAGTTAAAACTCTTCATCATAGTAATATTTCTGTGGCAGGATTAAGTATGGGCTAGTAAGAACAATATATACACATTTGGATATGTTGATCTTTTTAGAATAATTATATATGAGTATTTATTTTCCAATTAAGCAAATCTGAAAAATCTGACTTGTGATATTGATTGAAGCTACTCAAACATTTAGGCAGTATAAACAGGCCTTTTCTCTGAGTGAAAATTTCCTTTTGTTTTTATTATTGATGAAGCTGAACTTGCATATGTGGTCTCCTGAAGTGTGAGTGCAATGTAGTCACCAAGTATTTGAGTGCTTTCTCATAAGAAATTATGATGAAATTATCCACAGATGAATATTTTCAGTCTTTATTGAGAGTCTTTTATTTGATATGAAGCCTTACGAAAGACCTACGGTAATTACACTCCAAGAACTCTCAAGGGCCTTTAATTATTTTGGTTTGTTTTTTACTTTATCCAAGTTTAGAAAAAAAAAAATCATGTAAAACTATACCTTAGTTACAAACCTATTTTCTAGAATCATAGATTGTTTTGGGTTCAAAAGGGCCATAGAGATCACTTAGTTCCTACCCCCCTGCCATGGGCAGGGACACCTTCCACTAGACCAGGCTGCTCAAAGCTCCATACAGCCTTGCCTTGAGCACTGCAAGGGATGAGGCAGCCACAGCTTCTCTGGGCAACCAGTTCCGGTGCCTCACCCCCCTGACAGTAAAGAATTACTTCCTTATATCTAATCTAAATCTCCCCTCTTTCAATCTAAAGCTATTCCCTTTGTCCTATCACTACATGCACTTGTAAAAAATCCCACTCCGGCTTTCTTGCAGGCCCCCTTTAGGTACTGGGAGGTTGCTTTAAGGTCTCCCCAGAGCCTTCTATTGTTGAGACTGAACATCCCGTTCTTTCAGGCTATCTTTGTAGGAAAGATGCATATACACTGATAGTGTATATGTCTGTAAGTGTGTGTTTGCTCAACCTGTACCCAGACTGATTGTAACAGTACTAGTCTGTTAGATTAAAAGCCCATAGAATAAAACTGTCCTAAACTAATGCAATCTTTTAATGAGATTAACAAAATGTGATCTCAGAACATACACAAAATGTGTGCCCTGAGTATGAACATTTCTTTGTAATAAAACAGTTTAGACAAAATATATTCTTGTTTAAAAGCTCATATTTTTCATGTTAATCTGAAATAAGAGCTTATTGAAGAAAGACTGGTTATAAGCAAATGTAACGTCATCACAATGTGCATTTTACCATTTTTTCTTGTTTTAAGGCACAGCATCTTAACCTGCTCGAGTACCATGTACCACGAAGCCAGGGATGCTTGGCAGAGCTCTTCAGAGTGTTAGAGAATCACAAAGCTTTTCTACAAATCAAACACTACTCCATCAGCCAAACCACATTAGAGCAGGTATATATATTTTTTATTCTCTTTTGTGTCTAAACATGCTGTTTATCTTAAGTATTGTTGTAATGGAATACTAGATCATTTGCTGGATTACCCAAATATATGTGATAAACCATCATTTTTAGGCCATCTCAGGTCTACACAGTAATTTCATGAACCCTGCTGGATCATCACAGTAAGCCAGATATTCGTATTGTGTGTGAACCTGACCAGTGTTTAGAAGCACCCCAGTCTGTGCGGGAAGAGAATGTGGGACTGTGAACTGCCACCTCCACAGTTCAAAAGTTGGGATCTTACCAGTGTCCTTGAAAATGGTGAACCAGTCTCTGTAAATTTCAGTAAACCTTAGATTTACAGGATATATTCTTTTGAGAGTTTTCTTTTGATCATGCTGGACATTAGAGAACAGTAGAAATGTACAAGCAGACAGAAGAGATCCCACTACGAGAGACTGTAAAATCCTATTTGGGCAAAAGGAAGAACAGACCTGACGGAAAGGATGGTATTTCTGTGTGGACGTGATTTGTTACAGCATCTTCATATGAACTTCTTGTTACGTATTCTATAAACCGAGTCACATCTAGTCAAAACACTAATTCTCTAGGATAGATGGTGTGAGCTTATTTCTTTTTCCCATATGCAGATCATTAATTAAGCATTCTGATCTGTACTGATCTATTAAGTGCTTGTGAATGCCTGAATATAAGGTAATTTCAACCTGTTGATTATTTAGGGCATTTTTCACTCAATTCCTCTCCACTATTCATGGTGATTCACCATCACCTCAGTTTCACCTACCATTATTTCCTCTCCCTGACTGACAGTTTTAAAAGGAAAATAGTTCTTCTGAATAACAAATGCCCTTATAATTCATCCTGTTTTTTGCATCTGAATATGATCATTTGAATCAAGAAAAAACATCTTTCCCTCTACACTGCTTGCTGTCAAATAAATAATTGTGTGATAAAAAGCTCACAAGGCTTTCTGTAGTAAGATCTGTTAAAAAAAACCAAACAACAAGCAAACAAAGGAGTCACATCAGTTGTTGAATCATTGCTCTACAATATTCAAAAGTATACTTTCACCTTAAAATATCTGGGCCCTCCACTGTGATGGTTGTTGATAGAAACTGCAGGCTCAAGTTCCTTAGGTGTGTCATTTCAAAGCAAATTAAAACAACTGTTTCCTGCTAACTTGTGCAGCAACAAAATATAATTTTCATACATAAGTTAGTAACTCGTTTTACCATTATTTTTATAATTCATTAACCACTGTGATAGCTGGAGAGTTGAAGGGGGATAATTTCTAGAGTTTACAAAATATATCTCTAGAGGGGTTCTCTCAATATAAACTGTTCATTTTTGTGTCACAAAAGCTTAGGAAAGTAACTGAAAATTATCATCAGCTTGGCTTCAAAGATTCAATTCAAATGCTATATTTTGAAAGTCCTACTGTTTTTCATATCTTACAGGTATTCATTAATTTTGCTACACAACAGCAAGAACTCTCGCATTCTTCACAAGAATCTCCTGTTATTCATCATGACCACCTGCCAGTCTAGACTTAGAACAGGATCAGCAGCATATATGTGTGTGTATGTGTATACATATGCACATTTAACATGTAATAACTTTTCAGCTGTTAACAGTCTGTGTATGAGAAACCAATAGTAGAAGCAGAGGTGAGTTTGCATCTGTAGGCCAGAAGGAATGCTGCCAGTTCTCAGTAAAACATGAAACTGGTTACACGCGGACTAAAAATCAGTTTTTTAATTAAGTGGAATTCATAAGGGCCTCATTAATGCAGCTTTGTGTAAAAAAGAGTGATCTGAAATGTTGAAATGTCACAGTGTATAGTAGATTATTTTTGTGGTGACTCTACATCCATTTGACTACAGTAATCTCTTGCATGCGCACTTAATGTTTAACTTTTACATGGCAAGGAGAGAAAACCCCATTGAATGGTAGCAATAGCTAGGCTATCAGCCAATATTAATATTTAAAGCAAAAAATGAAATTCTTTTGACTTCTGTATTAATTCAGTTCTGTGTTGTGACAAGTTAAATTAGTCTTTATTGTATAAATGAGGAGCTATATTTTATATTAAAGAGGTGATTAGTGTACTAGTTTGCCTCCCAGTTGTCTTAAGTAAATTTAACACGGTTCCATAAATCATACCTGAAATGAGTGTTCCCTTATACTTGCAGGTTGCTGCTGGGAGAATTCTCAAGTATCTTTTTAATGACCTATTTTGTTTCTATTTTTTTGTTTCTTATTTTTCCCAAAAGAATGTCAAAATATTGTTTAATGGGCATGTTAAAAGAAAATAAGATACACATTCAGACACTGAGCAATTAACTTTTCAATAAATGTATATTATGATGCTAGATACTTCAGCCTAGGCCATGTCACATCCTTTACCCTATACACACATAGAAGTGAACATACAATTCTTTGCGCATTGAAGTGGGAGAAAAAAAGTACAAAACCATTTTGGTGTAAACCTCTGCCTCTTCCAACGAAAGTCTTTGGGGCTCCTGTGGAAAGCAGTGGATGTCACTTTTATTGGACTATCTTGTCTGATTGATAGTTGAAATTATAGAAATGGTGACTTAGAATTGTGTTGCTGCAATTTAACACTGGGGGGTAGGCAGGGGAAGAGGAAATGTACTTTGAGATGGAAAAATCAATTTTAAATGGAAAATTTTGTAGTGCTGCTGCTGTAATTTGCTGCTGTACAATGATGAAGTATTAAAAAAATTTATTTGTGTTTTAGGCTTTGCAAGCTGACACACAAGACTGTATTGAGGCTTGATTTGTTGGTATGTTTTCGGCCCATTATGATTTTTTGAAAATCAGAATCCAGGTTACTTATTTCTATAAAGGTGAAATTAAATCCTGGAATAATAATAAAAAAGAAGATTAATATAATAATAAAAAAGAAGGTTTACAGACTTGGTCTGCATGTACATATGAACAAGAGTGAGTGAGTTTATGAAACTGCTTTATTATTGGAATGGTTTGGTATATTCAGTTTGCACATAATATCAGAACTTTGCCATGCTCCTGTCCTGGGTTCAGCTGTAGCAGTCCTCAAGATCCAAAGTACTGAAGAGACATTAACCCCCAACAATCACCCTCCTGGTAGAAATGCCATGGCACAATGAGATGACCATGTTTAAGGTGTAACCATTTATTCTCAATTTCTGCACAAGGCTGGGAATGGAAAGTTTCTAAGGTCCCCAGTCATAACAGGAAAAGGTCAGTCTTACAAAACAGTGTGAAAGAAGTAGTGGAGGTGAAAGAAAAAGAAGGCAGACACAGGAAATCGGCAGAAACAGGGGTATGCTATCATAAGTGTCCTGCTTAATTTCAGGATCTCAGGGTAGAAGACGTGGTCAAGCATCTTTGAGTCATAATTTGAAACTACTTAACAGAACGTTTCTGTAGCTCAGATGAAAAAAAAAAGACAAGGGAATGTATGGCAAGAACATGTACACAGGGAGCTGCTTTTTTTCTTTTCTGTTGGTATGTCTAGATCTGCGAATTGCTGACATTATGATTGATTGGTTTTCTTTTGGTTTTGACTTGTTTTTATAAACTAGTATCTCTACTTCAACTATCACAAGCCCTCAAAAAAAAAAAAAGGAAATTTAGGAGATAAATGTGGGAAAGGAGATAGTTCCAGTTGTCAGGGTGTAAGGCAGCTGAGCCGGAAGGCCCCATTTGTATGAAATTGTGACAAGAGTGCTTATTCCTGCTTAGGAAGTGTTCTGGGGAGTTGAATTAATGAGAGTCCTGCAGCTTGCTTAGACCAAGGGAAGCATAAAAACGTACAAGACTCACTGTGGTGAGACTGAAAAAGAGTACCTTAGCTAAATGCCTAGCTAGGAGAGCTTTTCCAAGGTTTGGCTGTGTAACACTAATTAAATGTAATTTTTTTTTTTTCTGATTAAAAAGTAAAAGATTATACTAGTTTAATAGATGAGTACAGTAAATAAGGCTTACTTCAGATTGATGATTGTGTAAATTCAGTTAACAGTGCTTTTCTCCTTTAAAATTGCTTCATGTGTGTCTCAGGAGACCCAATTTAATTCAGGCAAGTAGCAAACAATGCTTGCCTACCAATACTTTATGGCCAAAGAAGGTCAAAATCTAATTGCTTTCCAGTGTCCTGGGTTCTGTCTCAGAGGATATTTTCCCTCTCCTTGACTTGCTGCATTCCTGCTTTTGAAGACTTTCTTTTCTTTTCTTTTTTTTTTTTTTTAATTCTTTAAAAAAATGAATTCCTAAACTGGGAGTCTGTTCAGAAAAGGTCATTTTTATGTTAATGATGACAGAGTCCTTGAATTTGTAAATCATGCAGAAATATCTTTAACACCTCTGGATTTTGAATGAAAGACATCTGAGGATTTTAAACAATAACTTCTCCTGTGAGATTTCTGTTAGGAAAGCTTCATGTTATTTCAAAAGGAAATTTCTCTTACTGTGAATATTTGCCCTTCAGCTTGAATGAAAATCTAGAATTAAGCCCAAAATGAGGAAATCAACTGCATATCTGAAATGCTCAACACTGAAACTGGGGAGATGATTTTCATGTTTTTAAGCAACCGCTCCACTTAAGTTGGAAAGATGAGCTTCTGCCAAACAGAGCAGGTCGGTTCAGGCCCTATTTGAATTTTTATGCAATTATAGAATGAGGTGGGCAAAAATAAGCTGTAGGTCTGAACATTAGGTAAAAGTACCACAGATTTAGTGGGGATGGAGGGGTGGTGGTAGTAGTGCATAGGATGGCAAACTCATGAATTGTCATTTTGAATCTGGCTACATATTAAATTTCTGTATAGATTTTTGCCCTGAAAAGAAAGAACTTATTTATCTGGTTTTGTTCAGTCATGCCCGAAGATGACAAATTTCCCCTGGGGTTGTGGAAGGATGTGTCATGTGATTTCCAGCAGGAAACTGGGCACCTTTTGAGCTTGTTTGTCCTTGTGAAATTTGAATCACTTGGTTCTGAAATCTCATAAATTAGGGAGTTGAATCTGACTCTTGCTGGAAATGCTCAACTCCTAGATCCATCAAAACCAAATTTAAGTAAGAATATTACTTATCCTGGTCTTTTTTTTAGCAGGTAGTAAAGCTGACACTTTCTTTGATTCAGTTTATTGTGAATTAATCTTTTTATGTCAGCACTATTCAATTTTTCTTTCTAAAGAATAGAGAGATCAAAGCTAGCAGTGCAAAGATCTTGCTTTAAGTGACTGAGAGCTGACTAGGTCAGACAGCTTTCCTGAGACCAACAACAACTAAATAGAAAATGATTCCTCAGTTCTATGCTATATACTTGCATTACAAATGAAACTGATGCTGCAAGTGTAATGACAGTGGGCAGCAGGTACAAAGCAGAAATCACAGCTATTTTATTCTCACACACATAGCAGCAGTCTGCTGCTATAAGCAGACAAGGTATAGCCAAATTTTTTAACAGATGAATTCTCCATGCTAAATAATGGTACAGATCACTGAAAGAAATCCAAACATTTATCTTCTTCGTTAATTTTTTGTCAGAGTGAATACTGTTCCAGCAGTACCCGTATGCCTATTGCTACATGGAAATACATGTTGGGGTAAATTCTGGCTCCTTTCACAATGACTCTGTAAAAGCCCTAATCAAAGACACAAGTAGAAATGTATGCACATCTTTAGCATCAAATCACCAAGGTTCATATCTGCTTTCTCTCAAGGTACATATGGAGAAAAAGGAAATTTTACCTATATAAGCAAATGATTAAGTCAACACACAAGATTTCCATCTGCAACTAATTTATTGCAGCTATAACACACTATACATACATAACTTTGCTGCCTGTTAGGCTGCTAGTGCATGCCAGGTACAGTTTAAAGAAGTGCCTTGGGATTCAGCTGACTATGAGGTACCCAGCAGGAAAAGAATAGGCTGCTCTAATGTGCTGTGGTATAAGGTAAGGTCAAAGAGGAGTCCTTCCACCCTCATACTGAGGCAATAAATGCTAGTTTATAATTAAGGGTAATGCATAAAGTCCAAGAGAAGGATCAGAAAAGCTTTTTCCTTTTGTTTGTGCTGAAACAGAGAAATTGCAAACTGTTACACATAACATTTTGACACTACTCTTAATTCCTGATCTACATACCTTACTATGCCATAACCAGACCCCCTCCAAAACCCTCAGCTCTTCCCTCAGACTTAAATCTTGTGGAGCTTGATTCAACTTCTACAAAATATGAAAGTTTGTGAAGCTTGTTTTTTTTCTCTCTTATTTTATTCAGAGCTGGTTCTTAAGAGTTCAACGATTATAGCATGACATTTATTGTGAATTAAATCAAATATGCATGTAATGATCTAGCTGAGGAGTTGTAGTCATCTAGTACTTTATAGCTAATGATAATTGTCTCATAAGAAGAATCTGAAATTGTTTTCTTAGAAGTCTGTTATTATGAATAATTCTGTTAAGCAATGTGTGAATCCAAAATAGCTTGAATCTAGATAAGAGAGTATTCTCTATGAAAAGTAAGAATAGATGTCATGCACAATGTTCTGAAGTGTTGTTTTGTTGTTTTTTTTTTTCCACTTCCAAAGCTAACTGAATGATTAGAAGTGGCACTTGTCAGTGGTCAACTAGTCACTGAAAATCTTATTGATGGCCCAGGGCCGAGACTGTTTACATGCTGCTCACTGAGACAACCCTATACTCCCATTTTATCAGTCCCTTTTTTTACTAACTGTGTGTTTTAGTTGAACTGGTAGGAAAAGGCAATGCACAAAAGTATATTTTCAAGTCTTTGCAAATTGAAATTTGAAATAGATTTTCTAGAGGTTCAGCAAATGTGGCAGATAAGATCAGTCAATGAAAACTACAATCCAGTTACCTTATGTGTCTGAAAGGTGTGACAGTCCATGATTTCAAAAACTTTCAGTATAAATAGTTAAAACACTTTTACAAAGCAAGAAGGTAAGCACAGAATGACAACCCCGTGTCTAAGGTTGCAAAGGAGGATAGTGGAAAAATTAAATTAGGAAAATAAGCCCTTTTTTTTTTTTAAGATTAGTAAAACACGTATGAAGTCTTGTTATTGAGCTTAGAGACAGCCAATATTTAGCATCTTGTAGAGCTTGACCCTATGTATTCATCACTATTTCTTGTGCTGTTTTTTGTTGCCATACACATCCCTCCAAAGAGTAAGAGTCAAAATCTGTTTTCTCAAGAACTTTATTCACTGTGTTCCCATAAAAGTTCAGTCAGGACTTAGCAAGACTTCAGCAGAATAGCTGATCTTGCCTGTTCCACAAACCTGGGAGTTGGTTCAAAC